TAATATAAAGTATTGATCATAATTAATGAACCATATCATCTTCCATAAATATTCAAATCATAATAAATAAACTCTCATCATTTCTATAAATATCTTAATTAATTGAGTTGCATTGGTTGTACAAATGGACATGGTTGCATTTGAAATATACCCTATATAGAGGTTGGTTATTATATAACTCTTGACATTTGTGCAACCAATACAACTCAATCTCAACCGTCCATTTCATTTGATTAATATGGTTTATTTGCTTCTTTTAGTCATGATGAAACATGTTCGTATACTCGTTTCATGATGATGAAACATATTCATGTTCAAGTTTCATGGTGATCCATGTTGCATTGTGTGTGATGAGGATCCGTTTATTCGGAGACTTGACTATGAAACGAGTTCATTTGCAATTGGTTAATGATTCTTGATCTCGTTTCATGGCCAACCACGTTGTAGGATTACGTAGGGGATCCGTTCAATGGATATAACGTGTTAATGAGAATGAAACGGGTTCATAATGTAATTGAACAGTTAGTCATGAACCGCTTTAAGACATGAACAATGATGTTGGAGGTGAATGATTAAGTAGATGAAATGGTAAATGAAACCGGTGCATAGACAAAATCGATTCATCATTGCAAAAAATGAATGAGTTTCAATATCAAATGAGGATAATGAAACTCGATATTGCATAATCATAAAATTTAATAAGCGCATTAAACGATGACGCAATTTCATTGACTAAAATGTAATGAATCCGACTACAAGTAAATTAAGAAAAACGAAATATGATCATTTATTTTAATTTTTAATGAAATTATTCATTATACATTAGTGAATATGTTGTGTTTTGATTTATGATATAACTTATTGATGGATATTATTTTAAAAAATGTTAACATTAAAATAGTATATTACTTCACAAAGTGAATCAATTTCATTAATAATATAATACCTGATATGGTTGCCTTGAATAAAAAATACTATGAATTAAATTTATTTAAACTCATAGACATTATATATATTCATATCGTTTGAGCCATAGAGAAATACATTAGTCAACGACAATGAGTGATCAGGGAGAAGGTATTATTTGTCATGAAACTCATGACAGATACAGTAACGCTGTTGCGGATGAAGATGGGTGCTATGGTATGTGTTCTGTATTTTAATTTCTAAGTCGATGTACCTTCCATAACATGAATGTTTGTATAATGTTCGTCTGTATTTGGGTCCTTGTATGCGTTTCATAGTTGGAGAATTTGTATAAAGCAGTTAGTAGGATTTGAGAATAGGGTTATGGTTTGATCACATTAATGGACAATATTTTTTCATGAAACAGTTTCATTAATACGAATGCCATATAGTATCCATATTGTTAATGAAGGTGTTTCATTAACACATACAATATCCCTAGTATCCATATCATAATGAAAATATTGTAATGAAAATATTTTATTGAATAGTTTCATAAAATAAGTTAAAAAACTTGAGCATGTTGCGGATAACTAATAGGACGTAATGAAACATAGTAATCGTGTTAATATTCGTAAGTGAAACTATATTGTAATTTCTATTTCTACTTGTTAGATGCATTATCACAAGAAATGGGGGAATCACCTGAGGGCACGAAGTTATGGTTTCCTAAAGTAGATGCCAATATTTGTCCAAAAGTTGGTGAATTCTTTTCATCGGTTGACGCCGTAGAAAATATGTATAAGAAATACGCGGACGTTGCTGGGTTTGATATCCGACTGGCCAGCAAGAAAATGAACTTGTTGGGTGAAGTGCAAACACGTTATTTTGTTTGTAGCAAAGAGGGTATTCCACCCAAAAAGGAATTTGATTCTTTAGAAGTTTCATCGGGTGAGAAGAGAAGACGTAATACAAATTTCAAACGTACTGGTTGTAAAGCTTGCCTAAAGGTACACTATGTCAAAGAGAGTGGCCGGTACGAGGTTTATCATTTCATTGAGTCTCATAATCATATGCTTTGTCGTTCGGATGAAAAGTTGTTCACCCATTCCAGACGCCAACTTGACTACAAGGATCATAAAAATGTTTACCATGCATCCAGCTCTAAAGTTGGTATCACTCAATCACGCATGATGCAGTTGGCAATTAACGGAGGTTTAGTATCATCTGGTGGGACAGCTAGGGATCATATGAACTTTAGAAGAGACATAATGTTATTCGTTGGTAACAAAGATGCACAAATGCTAATAAACAAGATGAACAAACGGCGTGAACATTGCCCGGAATATTTTTTTGAATATAAGTGTGATGAGAAGGAGTTGATTGCAATTTTTTGGGCAGATGAAACAGCAAGGATGAATTACAAACATTTTGGAGACACCATATCGTTTGACGCTACATTTCGGACAAATAAGTAAGCTGTCTTAAATTATTTGTTATAAATTGTTTTAGTTATATCCAATGAAAGATATATATGCTTCTTTCTGCATCTTAACAGGCATGCAATAATTTTTGTACCATTAGTTGCAATTGACAATCACAAGAAGTCCGTTGTGGTTGGTGCTTCATTGATTAGAAATGAATCAATCGTTAATTTCACTTGGGTATTGAAGGCGTTTATGAAAGCCCACGGTAGTCAGCCGCAGTTTGTAATAACCGATTAATGTGCAGCAATGAAACAAGCGATCCCTATAGTTTTTCCAGAAGCTACTCATCGATTGTGTATGTGACACATAACAAAAAAAGTGAAGGAAAAGGTATGTCTAATTTCATCCATTGGGTACAATTCTAATATATGCATACATAAGTTTGTTTACTACGCGTTTCGTAACAAAAAAGTCTTCATAATGGGCAATATGAAAAAAATGGTTTGACAATTGCTTGATTGTGTGCTTGTTTCATTATGAAGATCCGTGATCATTTAGCCCATGGAACCCCGTTTAAAAGCAAGTTCAACAAACTCGTATGGAATGTACACCTAAGTCCCGAATATTTTGAGGAGAAATGGAATGCATTGATGGATGAGTTTGGACTGCGGGGTCACTCGTGGTTCGAAGAAATGTATGCAATAAGAGAATCTTGGATTCTAGCGTACTTCAATGACTACCCAATGTCTGGTCTTATGAAAACCACTTCCAGGTCTGAGAGTATTAATTCATTTTTTTAATGTTTATACGAAGTATTGGAATGATCTTGTTTACTTTCTTAACACTTTCGACGATGCAATCGAAAGTCAAAGGAAAGAACATTGTTCACTTGAGGTTGCAACTAGAACTACAATACCTAAATTGTTGTCACCGTCCAAAATTGAAGCGCAAACAGCGAACGTGTACACAAAAACAATGTTTTTTGAGGTGCAAAAGGAAATGAACAAGGCAGTATGGTTTTGTGGGGTCGTCGATGTAGTAGAGGTAGGGGATAAGATGATTTACAGTATTACACATAAGAACAAGAATTCTGAGATCAAAGCTACGTACAAGGTGATGATCAATTTTTTGATTTAATTTTGACCAATAATTAATTAGAATAACATTTCATATTAAATGATTATAATTTATCTTCCTTTATGTATGATATGCTAGGTGGTTCATGATGTAGGGGATGATTCTTTTGATTGTAGTTGCAACCATTTTGTTCGCAATGGTATATTATGTCGCCACGCGTTTAAGGTAATGTTAAATTCTGAGGTGCAATATATACCCGAGAAGTACATCTTACCGCGATGGAGACGAGAGTTAGTTCCCGTAGAGTTGTTGTCGGCTCGTGTTAGGTATGGTGAAATGGATGTTGAGAAACAAGCTTTGATCAACCAGGCTACGTCAATGTTTGATCTTATTATTGGGCGTGTACGGAATGATAAGGAAGCGTTGACAGAGTTTGTGGAACGATTGGAATGTTTGGGTGATGAAATTTCGGTGGACATTCCAGTATTGACAGGTACTGAGCAGAAGATAAATGATATTCAAGAGCTATTATGTGTTTCCGAACCTGAATCGGTTGATGTCTTACCACCAACAGGGATACGTAATAAAGGTTGTGGGACCAGAAAGTGTCTTGTTGGTATGTCAGAGAGGATATCCATGAATGCAAAGAAGCCGAAAAGATTGTGCAGAACTTGTGATAAAATGGGGTGGCATGATTCCCGTAACTGTCCATCAAAGGGTGATAGTACCAAATAACGGTTTAGGTGTATGAATTATAATTGTTTGGTTTGTGAGGAACATTGGTTTTTGTTTCATTTTGATTTATCTTAGCTAGTAACGGTTATCGATGAAATTCTGCTGGCTCCTAAAATTATTGGGATGAGCATGTTCATGTAATGGTAAAACGTTTAGAGTGGGATGCGATGAAGGTGTTAATGAGACATGTCCATCACGAAGAAAATAATTTTGTATGGTATTTGTTTGAAAAAAAAATCTAACATAGTAACCTTCTACACTAGAAACATTTAAGTGTAAGATGTATGTAATTTATCTTACCAATATGTGTTCATTGGAATGAAAATAGTGAAAACATCTAATGAAATACTGTAAAAGTGAAGTACCTTTCTCTATTGTCGCGGTTAAGACGTAAGAGTACTCATAAAATAATGCTTAAAATGTTACATCTAGAAGCATGTTTTAGATATAAGATAACGATTATACATGTGAATTTGATTGTCAAACCATAGGAACCATGTGATTATTCAAGTATAAAAAGGGTTGGTATAGAGTACAAAAAGCGATGAAAGCGTTTAATCGATGAAACAGGTGCATACAACCCGGTATAGTTATGGTTGTTGTATTTAAACTTATGTGTGAAGGAAAATTGGTTTACTAGGCCAACGTATGAATCAATGTTCGTTCATGATAGGAATGTAAATGTTATAATGAAAATGAAGTTTGTTTGGGACGGTGCAATTGAAATGATGTATGATGTCTTATGTCATTCCTACTGAATTCGGTAGTGTCGCGTTTGATTAGTAGTATCATATTGTGCAATGATAAAGTTTCATTGTAATATTTAATTGTGGACTATTCAATGAACATGAAATAGTTTCATAATAAAGATATATAACACAAGTACTTCAAGCACAGACTAAAGATACGGTTGATTGTAATAGGAAAAAAGACTAAGCATTAAGTTGCTTAGCAAATATTTGAGTACTTGTTAAGACAAGATCAGTTAATTCAAATGAAAATGAACAATACATAACTGAATACTAAAAAAAATATAAAATCCATGTCATAACCTCCAAATATAACCCCCAAAAAAAAGTATAGCTAGTGAACCAACGCTAAACCAATGGATTGCTATGCTTGAACGTTAACGCCTATGGCAGATGTCTTTGTTGCTTTTGCTTGCTCTATTGCTTTCTTTTTGGCTTCGGGATCCATTGCATGAAACTGATCAACCTCTTTCACGATTGACTCCCTTCTTTTGCTGAAGTTGCTGAGTAATAACTTCGCCGTATATTTCTTCCTTAGATCAGTAAGCTGGGTTCTTTGATTCGGTCCTTCTGTAGTGAATCCGGTCTTCCATGACATTTCATCTCCCATCCAAGTTTCCATATGCCTCATCAAGAATACACCTCCATCCTCGAAATTGTCTTTTGTTTGCCAACTCATTTCCAAGCGTTCATGACCCGTTTCATCTATTTCTTGCCAACTAGGATGGCCTACAACTCTTAGATGCTTGATCATAAGGCGATGCTGGAAAAAGAAATAATCAATTGTAAAATGTATTTCGTGAAGAACATTCAAGTACAAGAGTGATTGTCAAGTTAGTATACTTACTAATAAGTCGACAAATGGATTCGTAAAGAAGTTGGTGATAATGTGTTCTCATTGCTAGTTGATGAGTCTAGTGACGTTTCTAAGAAGGAACAAATGGCGGTGGTTTTACGATATGTTGATGCACGTGGTATTGTTAAAGAGAGATTTTTTGGTATTGTTCATGTGACGGGGACATCTTCTTCAATTCTAAAATCCGCCATTGATAGTTTATTTGCTGAACATGGATTGAGTTTGAAACAGGTATGGGGGCAAGGTTATGACGGAGCAAGCAATATGCGAGGTGAGTTCAATGGATTAAAGGCCTTGATCTTGAATGAAAATAGCTTGGCATATTATATCCATTGTTTTGCTCACCAACTTCAATTAGTTGTTGTGGCGGTTGCCAATAAACATGACGGAGTTGAGAACTTTTTTAAAACGTTAGGAATGGTGATCAATGTGGTGAATGCTTCTTGCAAGCATAAAGACATGTTTCGACAAAGTTACAAAGATAGAGTGCAAGAAGCAATTGGTAAGTGTGAAATTGATACTGGAACAGAGAAATACCAAGAGCTTTCTCTTATACGAGCCGGAGATACACRGTGGGGTTCTCATTACAAAACCATTTTGAGCTTGATTGCTTTGTTTCCGAATGTTGTTGAAGTGCTCCGGTATGTTGAAGAGGACGGGGATAATGGTTTTAGTCGCACTCAAGCAACTGGTATTTTAGCATATTTGAAGACATTTGATTTTGTGATTTATTTGCATTTGATGTTTCATATTTTAGAGGTCACAGACTTGTTGTCACGGGCTCTTCAAAAAAAGGATCAAGATATTTTGGAAGCGGTTTCATTGATAAGAATAACCAAACAACTATTGCAACAATTTAGAGAAACTGGTTTTGATCCACTTTTGAAGAAAATATATTCTTTTTGTGAAGCAAATGGTATTAAGGCTTTGGATATGGAAGACCGTTATTCAAAAAACGGAAGACAAAGGACCAACATAACCAATTGTCACTATTACAAGTTTGATATTTTCAACATTGTTGTGGACATGCAAATTCAAGAGTTTGGGGATCGATTTAGTGAGGTAAGTACTGAATTGCTTAAAAATATAGCAGCTTTGAGTCCATGTGATTCATTTTCGCARTTCAATGTATCAGATTTATTGAAGTTGAGTGAGATGTATCCTCAAGATTTTAGTCATATGGAAAGGATCGCTCTTGAGAAACAACTTAACATGTACTATTTGATTGTGCGTTAAGATGAAAGATTTGCCAATTTGAGTGGTATTGTCGAGCTCGCTAGACTGCTAGTGGAAACAAAAAAACATCAACCTCTAGTATATCGGTTATTGAAGTTGGCTTTGGTTCTGCCAGTTGCTACTGCAACAGTCGAAAGATGTTTTTCTGCTATGAAGATTGTGAAGTCAGATTTGCGCAACAAAATCGGTGATGAATTTTTGAATGCTGCAATGATATGTACTATAGAAAAAGAAGCACTTCTCGCAGTTTCAATTGATGATGTAATTACTCAATTTCAAAAGATGAAGAGTCGTAGGGCACAGTTGTAAGAGGTAACTTTTTATCATTTTTTTTATGAAAATGAAGTTAATTATTATTTTCTTTTATATCGTGCCCCCTACAATATATTTTTCTGCATCCGCCACTGGCCATCGATACCTCTAAAATCAACAACCTTTGAATCGCTCGAATCTACCCACTTCTTAATGGTTCAGCAGGTTTCGTCGGCCTGAACAAATTTGTAACAGCTTTTGGACAAAAACATCCTCAATAAATGGGGTTTCCTCATTGTAATTTTCCATCGAGTTTTAAAACAATGGCAAAAATCAAGTAAACAGCTTGAAAAAGTGGTGTCTCGTTACGTTTGATCTTCAATTAAGAGGGTGTTTGGGATCGCTTATAAAAGACTTATTCCGGTGTGACATCGGTAATAAACATTTTTTAGTGTTTGGATAAACAACTTATACCGGTGCCAAACCGGTAACAAGAAGTTTTTGAAAAAGTTAAACCCTTCTGACTTATAATAAACTGATAAATGATTTTGTAAAAAAATATAAGTTGTTTCAAATAAGCGGTCTCAAACACCTCTAAAACTCATCCTTTTATCTTTGTTGCTTTTCTAACCGTAACTTCTATAAATCCAAACTTTTACATTTATATTACATTATAAAAATATATGATTTATGACATATTATATTATTATTATTATATAAAAGAATCTAATCAAATGAGAACTAATTAGTTTGTGATAACTATAAGATTCAACGTGGACCAATCATTTAAAATAATTAATATTTTTTTTAAATAAAATAGAAGAGTAAATTTGTAATTTGGGTTGAATATTTAATTTACTTTAATTAATTTAATATTTTAATTTACTTTAATTAGATTAATAATTTTATTTTGGATATCACATTGCTCATTGTGTGTAGTATCATGTACAACCCTTTATCGTGGTATTTTTGATTAATTAAATTTTTATGGGATGAATTATTTTTTGAAGAAAACTGATATATAATTTAATAAAAATGGATCGAAAACGGAAAAACTATAAAATGATGACGATTATGATCTGTTGGGCGATACCTTACAACAAACAGAAACCGTCCTAACCAACTGACCCAATTCATCATCATCCTCCTTAACCTAACGTAGATATTGGTTTGCTTCTATCAATTTCACTCCTAAATCTTACAGAATTAATGATCTCAAATCACAAATCTTGATCGCTACATCGAAAACCCTAGATATTAAGTTACGATTTCTGGGGTTTCTTCCAATGCCGATGCCTTCGTCTCGGAGGTTCTTCCACGCTCGCCAATATCCATCTAACATTGGTCCTAGATCAATCGTGCTAACCATCTGTTTCCTAATTGGATTATCCGGATTGTTGTTTTTCGGCATTGTTGGTTTTAGACGAGATTTCACAGGAGTGTATGAATGTAAACATGATAAACCTATTTCGGTGTCTGTGTCTTGGGATAAAAGTGGTGGTTCTACCGGTTTGGTTTCTGATAAGAGGCATAAGGTGATGGGTTTTGTTGGGATTCAGACGGGTTTTGCATCGGTTGGTAGACGGCGATCGTTGAGAAAGACTTGGATGCCTTCTGATCACCAAGGTCTTCAACGGTAAGGTTTATAGATTTTCTGTTGCATATAATTTGATTTTGTATTAGATGTAGTGGGAGATTAAGTGATGCATGATAGGTTAATTATGCTCGTTAGTGATGGTTGTTCAATTTTACAAACAAGAAACTTGAAGTGTTTGTGTTGCATTTCTGATACCATTTATACTTGATCTGATTTCTTGAATTACTTTATGAACATGAGCTATATTTATGGTTCGGGATGTCTTATCATGTGAGTCTTAGGGGCTGTTTGGTTGGTTTTCCCAAGTAACGTATGGATAAAGATGATTGTGTGGATTAGTTTGTATAGATTGGGAGGTTTATGTTTGGGAGAGGTTTTTCATAGATGGAAGGAGGTGTTTTTAAATTGAGAGGGGCAAGTTTGGAAAAAACTTGGTTTTCTACATAAAGATCCCCAAGAGGCCAAAAAGCTTACCAAATAAGCCACTTTCTGTATTATTAAGCCACTACCAAATAGTCATGTAAAGCTGACTGAATAAGCTGTGTGTCCCATTAAGCTCATTAAGCGTTAACAAACAGGCTCTAATGTACTACACCCACTCACGTAACATAAGGAAGTTCCTAATTCAAACACGAGGTTAATAGGTCACATTACCTTATATAAACACAAGATGCAATATCAGTGTTTGAGCTATTGATGACGTCCTTACATGGATGATTACCATTTGGGAGCGGAAACGTATCCTCACTTGACAATCCTTGTAAAGTGAACTCCATGAAAAACTTAGCATGAGCACCATTGACTTAAGATTTCATCAGCAAGTGCCCGGGATTCAAACTAATTTGGTTGGTTTTCCATTAAGTCCTGTATAGATAAGGATGTTATAGATTGAGAATGCTTTTGTTTGGGAGGGTTTTTTCATAGATTGAATGAGCATGTTTTTTAATTGGGAAGGGCATGTTTCGGAAAAACTTGGCTTTCTGCATTAAGCTCCCCCCCTAGAAGCTTACTGAATAAGCCACTTTCTATATCATTAAACCACTACCAAACAGTCATGTATAGCTGACCGAATAAGCTGTGAGTCCCATTAAACTCATTAAGCTGCTAACAAACAGGCCCTAACTTTGTTTTCAAGTAGAGGGCTTGGTTTTACATATTTTACCATATAATTCTATTTTACAATTTACATACCATGTATGTAAAACAAATTCAAACAAGAACCAGTCTGGCTTGGGCAATGAGGTGCATCCTTCTCTTTTAGTACCAAACAAGTTTTGTTCTTTTTTTTCCTTCTTGTTAGCCTTACATAATTGGAAGCATTGAGAGGGTCCTTCAACCCGTTGGTTTCATGGGAGATTGTAGCCTTGCATCAAATGGCTGACCAATTTGAGATTTTCATAAGGTTCATAATGCTCATAACTAGCACAATTAATGAGATCACATAACATCAAGTAGTGGGTGAAGGTATGTTCTCTTTTTAGTAAAGGATTTCGAGCACAAAGTGATTCCTAAACTATCATCTTGAACATCAAAATGTTGAAAGAATATGCATGCAACAAGTAAAGTGATTGAATGACTTTAAACTGTTATCTATATTTTCAGGATTTTACAAGATTAGTGTTTCATGGCTCATTTCTTGTATTTATTGGACTGCATTATTAGCTGGGAACTGGGATGTATCTCATCTATCTTTCTTCTGTGTTACAAAATTTATTTTATTGCTTTGATGGAACCTTATGCAGCTTGGAAGAGTCCACTGGCCTGGTCTTCAGGTTCGTCATTGGTAAAACCCGTGATAAATCAAAAATGGCAGAGCTCAGGAGAGAGGTGGAGGAATATGATGACTTCTTGATTTTGGATATTGAAGAGGAGTATAGTAAGCTCCCATACAAAACGTTAGTGCTTATGGTAGTTGTAAGTAAGCTAATTATGCTCACTATTTGAGGTTCATTCTAATTTGTGCGTCTATTGCAGGATAGCTTTCTTCAAAGCTGCATATGCACTTTATGATTCCGATTTTTATGTTAAAGCTGATGATGACATATATTTGCGACCAGGTGCTTAAGAGTGTTTTTAAGCATCAGTTTATTATTACATAATTTAGTATAACTGTTTTTTCCTATCTTAATTGCTTGTTCCTTGACTTTTCTTTTGGAACTGTATTATCTATCTTCTCGTTTTGTTCAATGCTAGATCGCCTCTCACTGCTTCTGGCTAAAGAACGCCATCATACACAGACATATCTTGGATGCATGAAGAAAGGCCCTGTGTTCACTGACCCAAAGCTGAAATGGTTAGTCTAACAGAAACTTCTCTCTCTCTCTCTCTCTCTCTCTCTCTCTCTCTATATATATATATATATATGTGTGTGTGTGTGTGTGTGTGTGTGTATACCCTACTGTTCTGGAGTGGAATTTCCTTTTATCATCATTTTCTGTTCCTTTTTCCTTTTGCAATGTTGTTGGTGTTATGAGGTCTAATATCTGATTACATACAAACAGGAATGAGCCACTAGGGTATATGCTTGGGAAAGAGTATTTTCTCCATGCTTATGGCCCAATATATGCTCTTTCTGCGGAAGTTGTTGCAAGCTTGGTTTCTTTAAGAAATAACAGGCAAGTTTTTTATTTATTTATTAACGAAATTAATGGCAAATCAGTTGACACACACTGTCTTGCAAAAGACTCGAAACACCTGAAGGGTTGTAGATTTGGGTTGATACCATTGTGCCAAAGGCAAGACATTTGAATAAAATTGAATTTCTTTCCATATCCTTCCAGTTTCCGAATGTTCAGCAATGAGGATGTTACCATTGGTGCATGGATGCTTGCGATGAATGTCAAACATGAGAATAACCGTCAACTTTGTCAACCAGAATGTACTGCTACATCCATTGCTGTGTGGGATCTCCCCAAATGTTCAGGTTACTGTTTCTCATCTAAAACTGAATCATTATTGTCATCAAATCTCTTCCAGCCCCCAAAATATGAACCTTTGATTCAATAGCTTCTCAAACAATCCTACTTTTTTGTTATTCCTTGTAAACAAACCATGGTTCTTGTGAAAAAGCAACAAAAAATGGAAAAAGGAGTGATTTTGGTTTTAAAATGGCAAGTGTGTTGGGTTTTTTGAATTCAGACCATGCTAAATATACATTTTGAATCTTGCATTGCAGGCCTTTGTAACCCTGAGAAAAAGATGTTGGAACTTCATGCAATGAAGATATGCTCAAACAGCCCAACTTTGCCATCTGATGAGAATGCAGTTTAAGATATCATTCTAGATTTTGCCCCTACTGAATTCACTCCAAAGTCCTTGGCTGGGTATATTTTTGTGTTTAGTCCACTCTCGTATTGCATACATACCAACACCAATCAGCCAAAATGTGGTACCAGAGAATTCTTTTGTTTCTGGATGGGGTCAGTTTTGTTGTATCACAAGTGTTAGTTCAGTTTCAGTCCCACCACTGTTGTATCTCATATTCCCCTAACTGACAACCTACCATTCACTTGTGAATGAATGATTGCATATTTGCATACTCAACTCTAGTCATGGAAACATTGAATACTGGCAAAATAAAAAGACATTTTTGTCCCTTCTTTCAAGATAAAATGACTACATTCAGTAAAACAGGATCAGAGCCTTCAAAAATCTTGAATGGCATATCTGCAAACATTGGTTCCTAAAGCATAAACCACAATCAACATCAAGAAACCGAAATGTGGTCACAAACACTCGTTACCTGCGTGTATATTTAACACATTATAGATACATCGTCATCATCAAAATCCTTTTTGTTACACAACAAAGGAAGCACGAAAAGCCATCACAAATCTTCCGCAAAGCCACACTTAGAGCTTCCTAATGAATAGCAGGATCCTCGCCCACTATCTTCTCACTCACTTCTCTTTCTTCCATTGCCACTTTTTTCTCACTCTCTTCCACGCCAGGATCCTCCGCCACTATTTTCTCTCTCTCTTCCACCGGACTGCTGCTACCAGGTACTTTTTGATCCATTGAGTTAGCATCTGCTGCATTTGCTGTCATTGGAGATCCTGAACCAGTGGACATATTATCCAAAGAAAGTGTATCTGAGTTCTTCGGTTTATTCAGGGCATGGCAATGGGGACAATAGTAAGTGGTGAATGGGAATTCCTCCTTTCTTGCAAGACCTGTAAACAAGAAAAAAAAAACCCATTTCTTGAGCTTACACTCAAATCGAAGTTGTGAATATAAAATGTGACTATAAGTCTATTCACCATTATGCATATGGCAATTGCCGCATATAAGTGCATATGATTGTGCAGGGTCGTCTCCCACAAGCAACGCGGCAATTCGAGCAATCCAACCCCCATCTTGAGCACCTAAAGCTGCAGGGTTGTGATGCTCAACAACAAGCGGACCATGCAGAGAATTCTCGGAAACTTCATTTCCTGCATACTGAGGCATGTCTTTATCAGAGTGCTGCTGGGCTACATTGCCTCCAGTAGATCTAGCATTTGGTTGATTTCGTTTCCGGAGACCAGTAGATTGTTGAAGCTCAACATCGCTGCTCTTCCCTGTGCCATATGGATTCGGTTGTGACTCATCTCCAAGAAACATTTTCAGGCCTGAATCCGCACCCAATTTGGATGCAAGGACTGATGCAGCAGCTGCTTTTGCTGCTGGATCAGGGTCGTATTTCTGCAAAACAGGTTGAAAATAAGCACACATTCGAAAGATTTGCTGGATCAGGGTCATAAAACCTGCAATGCCAGTTCGGGAATCTGCAGTTACGCAGACCAGACTAACTTCTCATATCTAGGATGACTGACTAAATCAGAGACAACTTTGAAAGATTTGGTGCAGCTTTTAAGAGTGTACAAGAATCTTCTATGAGCAGCTTCAAGCTGTACCTGAATGAGTTGCTGAGTCATGTAGTAATTTGTCCTCTCTTTAAGCTCGTCAATTTTTGCTTGCCTTTCATCACGAAGCCTCTCCAATGCTTTCTGGTCCCTGCGGTCACCTATATGAGAGCACATCAAAAGTCATTATTTTCTGCTATGATAAGACATCAAGAACCATAGAAAAAAGACAACTTAATATTCCATCCCTACCACCCATCTACAGCCAACTAAGGGCCTGTTTGTTAGGAGCTTAATGGGACTCGCAACTTATGCGGTCAGCTATACATGACTGCTTGGTAGTGGCTTAATCATATTGAAAGTGGCTTATTCAGTAAGCTTTTAGGGGGAAGCTTTGTGCAGAAAGCCCAGTTTTTTTTTTCAATCCAGCCCCTTCCAATTAACAAAACATGCTCCTTCCATCTATAAAAAAACCCCTCCCAAACTATACAGACAGATTAATCCAGACCGATAGTTTTATCCATTTAGGACTTGATGAAAAACCAACCAAACAGCCCCCAACTCTGCAATCAAAATTGAGCATTAAAGACAACAGTACAACACCCATCAGCACATTGACATATTAACCATGTACATTGTCAATGTTGCGTGCCTAAGCAAATCACACACTTCCTTTCTCTTGTGGGTTGACTTAGGGTGTTCAATGGGTATCAACAGCAGTATGCATAAAAAAAAAAGCGACCAACGGTTTAGTATCTTATTTAGGGGAGTATAAACCATAGCAGATCAAAGAAAAGACTACTTTCACTAGTTGAAAGCATAATAGATACCAATCATAGGAGTGAAGCTTCAGATGGCAATTGGCAGCAGCATATGCTAACAGTTAAAAAAGAAAAAATATTTATCCCATGAACAGATGGAAGATGGAAATATGGGATGAACAATGACAAATAAGAATAGATTTCACATCAACAAATAGCAAGGACTAAAAGAAATCAAGAGGCTAACAGACATAAATCACGATTGACTGATCAAAAGGAGAAAATGGTTATAAGCATTAAGATGAACAATGCAAATCTTTTTAAAGGGGTTAACAGGGATTACAATTTACAAGTATGTACACTTACAAAATTTTATGAAGCTCAAAAGTCCATAATGCAAGGCGAATGATAAACCAGGCAAAACAAACATGGGTAAGACTCGCAATGATCTCGTTCTCCAGTCCATGTCCACTGTTCTTGTTGTCATTATAGCATAACCCACTGCAACCAACTGTGACAAACAAAATCAAAACATAGCCAAGAATGGCATGTAGAAAGAAACAAAGAGCATTCAGTGTTTTCACCGAGTAATTAATTCCTATGAATTTTACCATGGCCTAGTTAGAATACATACATTTTTTTCTTGTTTTGTCAAAAGGGCATACCTAGTATCTTCTGAAATATGATTTGGTGCCATTGTTTCACAACTATATATATAGGGCAGGGTTGAGAGGAAAACCAGAAAAAATGAAAAAATGAGGAACACTCTTAGTAACAGTTCATGCGGATGGTATGCGCAGGTATATGCAAGTAATCTATAAGCAATTTGTCCGGTATGCACATGTGCATAATATGCACACATACATAAAAACCAATAAACAACTTGAATTACTTGTATGCAGTCCAAATGAATGGTTCCTAGGTGTTCCTTAGTTTTTCATTTTTTTTTGGAGATTTCCCTTAACCTCCCTCTATATATACATATATAAGAGAGTGTGTGTGTGTGTGTGTGGGTTTGCATTCAGAAAGAATTAAGCACGCCAGATTTTACAATATACCATTCACTGAATCCTGAGTTAGAGAACACATCCAAACAACTAGAATAAATCTGACTCGAATAGAATTGCGCATTCTCACAGGAAAAACAAATGGTTTGAGCTGTACAAGATGTCTTGCACGCATACAGATCTTGAGTTCGAACCCGAGGCTTGTGGGTTGCATCCATACCCACAATTTAGGTGTGTGCAAGTACGATTGACTGAAAGGATTTTCAGTTGATGCCAATAGGGCTAGGGACGATGATAATGGCTACAGAAATTACCTCAAGAATAACAGAAAAGATAATTAAATTCCTGGCCGTTCTCCTCCATCTCAAGGATCGCCTCTTCATTCTAGAGAGAAGAGTAGCTTCTTCTTTAGATATATACTGCAATCTCTTCTCAAAATCGTCACTGCCTAACCTAAAGACTGTATTCCAGATTCGAGAGAAAATACCCTTCTTGTTCTTGCTCTTGCTCTTGCTCTTCTTACTCTTGCTATCATTCTTCTCTTCAACCACTTCGTTTACCTCTTTTTCATCAGCCATTAGGGTTTTTTTTCCACTGAGCTTTTCCACACAAATCAGAACTAAAAAAACAAAAGAAAATCGCAAGAACAGATCCAGATCAGTGAATTAAACAGCTTCATTTGCTCAATTTTCAGAACCCCATAAAAGAAAATGGTATTTGAAAGAGACAATCGCGTTGGATCGCGTACCTGGAAACCCAAGAAATGTAAAAATATTGAAGGGTTTTGCTTGTTTCGAAAACAATCAGTGGTTTTTGTTCGTTCGATCGATCAATCGGCGATGAATGCAAATCGAAAAACATAAAAAAGTAGAGAAAATGAAAGATCGAGAGGAAAGCCTGCCAATGAAGAATTCTTTAGATTCCAAATAGGGTTTGGTTGAAGGGGGTCCGCTGGGGGAGTAGCACACACGTATCACACGCCGTCGTGGAAACACACCCAACGGCTTCTTAATAATGACGGCTTGGCTAAATATCTTTTTTTAACAAATTTAATTATTTTTGTAATAAAAATTGTATTTTAATTTTTTTTTAAATAAGTACTTCTATACAGGGGTTTAATCATTAAGAATCTTAGATATGGGTCGTGTTCCGGTAAAAATAAGAGTTACGGTAAGAAGGATAAAAAAGATCTATATTGTTGGGTCAATTTTAATTTAAGAGAACTACTAGATTAACACTAATGAGAAAGTTCAGATCAATTATCTTCTAAAACGTAATTCATGTTTGATTTGAGATTAAAGTGATCAAGCGTCTAAATTCCTTCTTACAGTTCTCACAATCATTCATCCATTATTGTATATTGTGATAACTGTTTGAATAGGATAGCGACTCGGGATAATTTGGATAGGAGGGGGGTTGATGTTGGTTCATTGAATTGTTCTCTATATGATGTGGGTTTGAAGTCAGGAGATCATTTGGTTTCCTTGTGCTCTTTGCCAACAGAGATTTGGAGACATACTGGAAGGTGGTGGCGTTTAGATATATCGGTGTTTAGTTTCTATGCGGCTTTAATTACATGGTTTTCTACTTTGCGGTTGAAGAGTGGGAGAAACTGTGTTTTGAGGCAGTTGTTCTCCTATGCTTTGGTATATATGGCCGTTCCCTAGTTTGAAATAATTATGGAAAACGTTCATGTGGTTCACATTTTCACACGTCTTTGGTCCCTAACCCTAACTCCGTTAAAACAATTTTGTTAAGTAAGTTAATTAAGGGGGGGGGGGGGCATTTTAGTCATTTTACTCATATTTCTCATATACATTATTAATTAAAAAACGAGTTTCTTTCAACCACCACTTAACTGTTGACTGTTAATTCCGGCAACTTTAATCCCCATTTGTTTTTCTAGACCCAAACAACACTCGATTAACTCCACATAACATCAAGACACCAACTCTCAAAGCATCAACCATCAAGAGCACATAAGAGAAAATTATGTAAAATCCATTTATGATACAAAACTCATAAATCAAAAACACCAAATTAAGTTATAAGCCTAAATCACAAGAGATGTACAAAAGAAAACAAAAACAATAAATTGTTGTGTTCTTCCTGCAGCTCAATATGTAGAAGCGGAAATTGTGGTTCGCTTTAGGTAAATAGATGAAGATGAAGATGCCAAAGAACCTGCTCTTGTTTTGGTTGTTTCACGATCGTTTATATGGATGAAGATGAAGAGAAATAAATTTAGGGTTTACCTTGGCTTGTTTTCTGGTGTATTTTATAATAAGGGTGGCATAATCAAGATAGATCTATTTTGGGATAAGGGTGACATAATCAGGTGAGACGTATATTGGGATAAGAGTGACATAATCAGGAGAGACGTATACTGAGATAAGGATGGAAAAATCTTCTATATGTAAAATGGGATTTTGATCATGTGGAACTGTTATCGCATCTTCATGATGCGATGAGTTTGATTTATCGCATTTGTATGATGCGATGAGATGATGTTATCGCATCCTTGTAATGCGAGAAAGGTATTTATCGCATCATTATGATACGAAGAGTTGCGTTATCGCATCCTTGAGGTGCGACAAGATTAGGTTATGACATCCTTATGATGCGATAAAATTTTGTGACCGCGTCAATAAGATGTGATAAGTTGGTATCTTCTATGTTTAATGCGATGACTTTGGTATTTCATGGGTTGATGCGATAAAAAGAAGAGTGTCTCGTCTATATGATGCGATAAAAGTTTGTTTCAATAAAACACTGTTTATTTGTTATCAATGCAAATTTGGGTTTTATAAAAGTTTGTTTCAATAAAACACTGTTTATTTGTTATCAATGCAAATTTGGGTTTTATAAAAGTTTGTTTCAATAAAACACTGTTTATTACAGCGATACTTTATGTCCACATGTCACTTAGGCGGTCAATATTGTATTACTGTTACAAATTCTCTATTTTTTTTTCTAAAATAATGAACCAAAAGTCAAAATCTTTAAAAGAAATTGCATTTAACTTTAACATATTCTATAATCTCTCAGTCATAGAGAACTAAAAGTCAAAATCTCTATAAGAATATTACAGTTAACTCCAACAGATTGTCGTTTATAGATTTTAACATCGATTATATCGTTGAAAATAAATATATCATCTCACTATACATTTTAGAAAAAGACTGTATACATAATAATAATAATAATAATAATAATAATAATAATAATAATAATAATAATAATTCAATATTCTTCACGAGAACAATTAAAATTTAATTTCTCCCTCCGCACGTCAAATTATAGAAAATTCTCTAAACTTAGAGCTTTCAGTAGTTTTCTCTATTTTAGATAACTATAAAAAAATTATTTGAGCAAAATAAAGAATGAAAATTTAGTTTTCTTTATTTTAAAGAATCTGTTAAAGATGTTTTAGGAATGACACTGACATTACAAATCTATGTCTACCAAAGGTGGCTCCCGTAAATTTGTCTTTTTACTGTCAGATTTATTTTTCATAAATATAAAACTTAGTTCATTGATTATTGTTTATTGACGAGTGTTAATTGTTGATGATTTGTATCACTAATATCATTTAAGTGTAATGAGATTAATTTGTTGACCAATATAATCATGATAAATATCGAACAAGTAAGGAAGGTGCGGAGTGCAGACTTGTTTGGGTTTATTTTGATTTAGGGGTGAAGCCCCTAAACGACGGGGGTCTGGGGGCAGGGCCCTCGGTGACGGGGTCCAAGGATAATGTTGCTTTGTGAAAAATGCTTTAAAAATCTAAATTTAAAATTTTAAACCCGGTTTAGGGTTCAAAAACTACCGTTTTTGACAGTTTTTTGAATTCAATTTTTCGGATTAGTCATTTGATTTTGGAAGGTACATACATTCATAACAATCGATTCTTTGTTCAAAAATCACTGATTTTATCCGATTGAAATTTCGATTATACCATCGAAATACTTCAATCTGAAAGCGTTACACGATTTTCAATGGAATCCAAGCAATTGAAAACCAGAATTTCTAACATTAATCGTTTATCATTAATTATTAGGATTAAGATTTGTTAGTTTAATGACTTGTCGTTAAGCTTTTATTAATTGTTAAGGTTAGGATTTGTCTGTTAAAGGCTTAAACTATAATTATTTTTTTATTGTTAATTGTTTTATTATTTGCCTTTATGATTAATTAAACTTTATTTATTTTTTATTTTTTTTGTAACAATTTTAATTATATATATAATATATATACTAGAAGCGTACTCGCGCATTGCAGCGAGATACATCATGATTTTAATATTTCATTTTATTATTTATCTCAGTCGATGTTATAATATGGTTTTATGTGATTTTGAGAAATCAATGATGTTTTCATTTTTGAATAAAATATATGTTTGAAGATATCATAAAATTTGACAAAAATATATCGATATTAATATCAAATTAACTATTTGAAATTCCTCATTTTTTGTGTAATTTTTTAATTCAATTTTTTTATAATTTAATTTATGTATAATAATATAATTTTTTTATAAAGATAATAATTATTTATTTTGTTGGAACTCGATAATTATTCTAATTATATTTTTTATTTTTTAAAATGAGATGTTCATCCTCTATTTGATTATGTTTATCCACAGTTATTTATGCGAATTCAAACATCGAGCTTTAATATATTGTACTTATGCATAATTACTTGTAATATTGAATTTTAAGTAATATGCATCAATATACAGTACTTTATGCATAACAAAAATATATCGATATTCGTATCAAATTAACTATTTAAAATT